TGGGCAAGACGAGTTTACCCTCTACTGTAACATTTATCGTAGATCTCAAATTAATTTTGAAGATAATTTAATATGCTAAATTTTTTAGCCGCATAACCTGTTGGACCAATTTTGCCAAATGTAAACCCACTCTAATACCCAAGTTCAGTTCTCTCACCCCATCACAAAATTGTGACATATATCACCATATTATTTAAGAAATTGGATTTATTAAATTATTTTCAATTAAAATTAATGTATAATTAATGAATATAATTTTTTTAATTTTCACATCAAAAATTAATTAGGCCAACTAGAGGTTGGTTTAATTGAAAAGAAATATAAGGATTGGTATTGGGAACTAAACATTAAAACACAAACGAAAGGTAGGTAGAAGGACATTAAAGGCCATGATGAAATTAAATTCTCATTAAATAAGGTTAGGTATATTAATGAATTGGTCTAGTAAATGGCCTTTAATTAGCTTTCATGCAGCAACCATAATATATGTGACCAAGTTTAGGTGAATGCAGTTTTCAAACATTTATATGACATAACCATATTTTATTTCATTTTCTCGGTCCATCACCATCCCTTTTTTATCATCTGCCTATATTACAGATGAATTGAATAAAAAGTTTATGCAATAGTTTAATAGATAAATATATTGTAAAAAAAGTAATAGGAATGACATCTGAAATCTAAAAAATTATAGATATTATTAACAAGTAATGATCGGGAAAAAGGAAAATTTCTTAATTTTTGAAATATAGCGTACAATGGAGTTGGAATTTGTTAATTATATTTCGTCGAATAATAGAAATTAGAATTAAAATTTGTCTCTAAGTATAGACCTTAAAAGTAAAAGATAAATTAATTTAGTTAGATTATTATTAATTTTGTGATTAATAATTATTTTGGTGAATTTCAATGTATAAAAAATGTAATATGACAACCAAATTACAATTAGAGAATTAATAGTAATTGCATGTAATTAGGATATTTTGGAGCAGCAACTTTCGATTGATCTTTTGGCCGTAGACTTTCTCTTAACATGCCCCCGCAAGAATGAGCTCCCATCAAGGACGCCATTCTTGTTCCATAGATGCTCGAACCGTTGCCTGGAAAGAGGTTTCCGAAGTCCATCCGCATAATGTTCTGTAGAGGAAACATATTGGACCTTCAACTCATTCTCTTGTACTTGTTGCCGTACAAAGTGATGGTCTAGAGCTACGTGTTTCATTCTTGAGTGGAAGACGGGATTGGCGCTCAAGTATGTCGCATCACATAGTAAGTTTGGCGGTTTCTCGATCGGAATATGTAATTCTTGTAACAAGTTGATGAGCCATTTGACTTCTGCTGCGGCATTAGCTAGAGATCGATACTCTGCTTCTGTTGAGCTCCATGCGACGGTTCTTTTCTTTGTTGACTTCCAAGAGATCGGATTGTCACCTAGATATACCACATAGCCACTTGTAGAGGTTCTATCATCTCTGTTACCTCCCCAATCAGCATCACTAAATGCTGTTATTGTAGTTGCATTTCCTTTCTTCAAGAATAATCCGTGATTTACTGTACCTTTGAGATAGCGAAGGATACGTTTTGCCATTGCCCATTGACTGGCCTTTGGACCATGCATGTATTGTTGCAATCTATTTACTGAATACGCAATGTCCGGTCTTGTCAAAAGTACATATTGTAGGGATCCTAGGATTTGTCGAAACTCAGTGGCATTTTTCACGCCTGAACCGTCGTTGGCTTTGATCACAGTGGTCGTAGACATTGGTGTAGAGGTAGGTTTGGCTCCCTCCATGTGGAACCGCTCATGTATGTCAAGTATACGTTTTGTTGCCTGCTCTTGCTGATTTTGAGTTACGATGTACCTCCAACATCTCTTGGCATCATGACCATATTTACCACAAAGTTGATAGGTTGAACGTTGGGGACCTTGAACAGAATTTTCGGCCAAAGTTTGCTTCTTTCGATTTCTGAAGTTAGGATCAAAATTGTTACCACGGTAATTTCCCTTGTTTAGTGGTCGCGAAGCATGATTACCTCTTCCTCGTTGTACATAATTCACACTAAGAGGTGTGATGAGCCATTCTTCTTGCCGTTTCAAGTCTTTCTCGTGATCAATTAATTTATCAAAAACCTCTTCAAAAGTGAGTGTTGTTTCCCTTGCTTTCAATGCAGTGACAACACCATTCAGTTTGGGATTAATTCCGCTGAAGATATGAATCACCAATTCATCATCAAGGATCGGGCTTGGGCTAGGGCGAGTTCATCAGCCAAGGTCTTGGCGGTTTGAAGGAATTCAACGACGGGTTTGTTTCCTTGCGTCAACATCGTCAAGGATCTTTTGTGTGCTATCACTCTCGATTTTGTTTTGCTAGAAAGACAGCAATCACTTGTTCATTGCTTCCATGGACGTGGCACATTTAGCCATCACCAGTACAACAATTTCTGAAAGAGAGGAGCCTATCGCCGTACCCAAAGATGGTACTCAGGATTCGGAACTTCTTTAGATTCATGAGCATCATTCTTTTCTGTCGAGACTATGGTTTTTGGTGGACAGGGAGTATCACCAGTGATATAACCAGTTAAATCCAAACCAATGAGAGGTGCCTCAATTGGTGAAACCAGGAAGGGAAATTCATATTTGTGAGTTCGAGTGGTAGCTGAGTTTGAGTTTGAGTACCTATTATTTTGTTTTTAAAATAAATGAAAAAAAAAAGAATGCTAATAATAATAGTTATAACAAATAATTATAACGTAGAAAAAATAAACATTGCAAAATTTAAATAAAATAAATAAACCACCATGTTAGGACTAAATTGCAAAAAACATGAAGTTAAAAGAACACAATAATATTAATTAAAACAAAACGGGTCAACATTACGACAGTTAGAAAGGCGGAAGGACCAAAATTAAAATTTATCCAAAGATTTCAAACACATCTTGGTTGTGGATCTAGTTTAGGTATGGGTCGAACATCATACTTGATAATCAAAACGATGTTGTTTTAGAATACGAACAATCTTTCCAAAACAATATCGTTTTGAAAGGCTCATATTGAAATATATCATAAGGAACAAACACAGGGAGAAATACATGATTTTTATGTTAAGGGTGTGAACATGAACTTATAAAATTTCAGGTGGGTGAACTTAAACTTATACAATTATAGAGAGACGAAAATATATTTTCAATAAAAAATAAATAGAAAAAATTTGAAATATATAATAATTTTAAAATTTTAAGAGTGACTGCCCTACCCACCCCTGCTTAGGTCCATCGCTGGGAACAAGAGCGGAAGGACCAAAATTGAAATTTATCCAAAGATTTCAAACACAGATCTTGGTTGTGGATCTAGTTCAGGTATCGAACATCAAACTAGATAATCAAAACGATGCTGTTTTAGAATACGAACAATCTTTCCAAAACAATATCGTTTTGAAAGGCTCATATTGAAATATATCATAAGGAACAAACACAGGGAGGAATGCATGATTTTATGTTAAGAGTGTGAACATGAACTTATAAAATTTCAGGTGGGTGAACTTAAACTTATACAATTTTAGAGAGACGAAAGTATATTTTCAATAAAAAATAAATAGAAAATTTTTGAAATATATAATAATTTTAAAATTTTAAGAGTGACTACCCTACCCACCCCTGCTTAGGTCCATCGTTGGGAACAAGAGCGGAAAGACCAAAATTGAAATTTATCCAAAGATTTCAAACACAGATCTTGGTTGTGGATCTAGTTCACGTATGGGTCGAATATCATACTAGATAATCAAAACGATGTTGTTTAGAATACGAACAATCTTTCCAAAACAATATCGTTTTGAAAGGCTCATATTGAAATATATTATAAGAAACAAACACAGGGAGGAATGCATGATTTTATGTCGAAGGTGTGAACTTGAACTTATAAAATTTCAGGTGTGTGAACTTAAACTTATAAAATTCTAGAGAGACGAAAGTATATTTTCAATAAAAAATAAATAGAAAATTTTTTAAATATATAATAATTTTAAAATTTTAAGAGTGACTATCCTACCCACCCCTGCTTAGGTCCATCGCTGGGAACAAGAGCACCTAACTTGAGGCATTCATAATTAAGTTTTTTTTTTCCTTTCAATTTATTTTCTATTGATATATATCGATAATAATAAAAATGATACCACCATGGCAAAGGTTATATCATTTGGCTCACAACCAATACATACACATATACGCTCACATAACATCAAATATATATTCAAACTTCAAACTAATAAATATTAGAGTGAAAACACAAATGGTTCTTTGACCATAGGGTACTGCTTTATAATTAGTCCTTCAATTATCAAAAATTATAAAATGATCATCTGACTATAGAGTGTTACTTTATTAAGTCCATTGACTATTTATTATGTATCAAACTCGTCTTTTTCTGTTAAAAAATTAATGACATTCTGAACTAAATGTTAACATGTGACTGTGATATGATAAAATATGATTCTAATATCTCAAACAACTTTCATATTTCATTCATCTTGTTGACGTCTAACTCAGACGACCATCAAATTTTTAACGAAAAATGATGAGTTTGGAACACAATAAATAGTCAAGTGACCATTTTGTAACTTTAATAGTTGAGGGACTCAACAAAGCAACATTATATAGTCATAGGACCCTTTTGTAACTTCTATTAATGTAGTAATTTAATAAAACAATATAATCAAGAGACCATTTATATACTTTACCCCAAATATTAAACTATAAACAATGCCTAATAACTTATTGGATCGTTTGAAACACAATCCAAGAACATCATATAAATAGAAATTTAAGAATTACTATGTAGGTTAAGACCACTGAGTAGGACAATAAATAATGTAAAATATATATGAATATGTGAATATTAAAATTATATTTCTTTTTTGGTATTTGCCATCCTTTTCCATTTTCTGCCAATATTTGAACTTTAATTTATCCATATCATTTACAAAATTATAGTCAAGCATTGGACATCAAAGCTAGAATAACTTCAAATTTTTTCTTCTCAAATTGATATATTGAGATCAAGGCGAGGCTTCTTGGAAGCAGGCATTGGAACAACGGTATTGCACCTAGGACATCTAGGGTTATGTTTCATCACCATCACATACGATAAGCATCCGGGGCAGCCGGCTGCAACCGGCAATGAGAACAACCTCTCTTGATCACCGACATAATGTGAATCTTTGATTGAAGATGAGGATGAAGAATACGAAGGTGACAAGGATGACTTCCACAACGTTGACGACGACGATGAAAACGACCGCTTCTTGATTGGATTTTTCTCTCTCTCTGTCGAGTGCGAATTTTATTTTATCGAGTGTGCACACACTTTGATAATTGGTAGAAGACGATGGGACTAGTTTAAGTTCTAAGTTGGTCTCATCGAGAAGGTTTAACAAAGGTTTAGAGGGCGACGGTGGGAAGTTCAAATCTTGAAGCTTTGACACTGTTCGATTGTTTTGGTGTTTGGTTCCATCCGATGATTGTGAAGAATTTGATGAATTGCATCTTTGCAAGTACACCTTGCCAGACTGCAACCATTAAAAAATAATTAGTGAATCATACTTTATATAGCACAAGTGAATCAAAGAAAGTAGAGGAAAATTTCCAAATGAAAATGATCATTTCATTTCCAAAATATATTTCTAAAAGAAAAATAAAATAATCATATTTGCATCCGGTTAACATGATTAAAATCAAGTAATAAGTTATCATACATGATCTTATTATATGAAAAAAAAATTAAGGAAATCGTTTCATTACTTGTGAGATGAGAAAATTCAAGATACCTTCAAGTCTAGGCGCTTTTCCCATCCATTAGGGACTTGAAGGTCAAGATCAAATTCTTCTGATTGATCAGTTTTCATATTGATCAAGGCGGAGCCACCACCTCCGAGCAAGTCTCTGGTGATCAAAGCCGTTGATTTTGCTCCATCGGATTCGTTTCTCGCCATTCGATCATCCTTGTACCTGCTTAAAACTCTATGTAAATAGCTAACATCGGCAGCCATAGCCAAAGAGGGTTTCTTGAGGAGGAGGAAATGAGTGGCTTTCTTTTGTTCTTCCCTTGTTTATATAACAATGAATGAGTCATTTATAAGTGTTGAGTATTATACCCACTTTGAAAAATATAAAAAAATTAATAAAATTAAAGTGGTATTAATGTTGAATTAATTAAATTTCAATTTAAAAGAAATAAATTAACCCAATGCTTTAATTTGTTATAGTTAGTTGTTTCATTTATTGTTTTGCATATTTATTTATGGTAGGAGGGAGAGTGAGAAATTCAATAAAAATGGGAAAGGCGTGCAAATAAATGGCCACATTAATTGCTTCGAAATACAAGTAGACAACCATTAGAAGTAGATTTCTACACGTGTGAGTCGCTTCGGCCTAGAGTACGATAGTGATTATGATTCTTTTTTAATTTTTGTAGAAATAATTTTTACGTGTTTTATAAATTATTATTTTATATTGAATTGAATTTAGTATGTTATAACATATTTTGTTTACTTTGTATACATTATTCGTGAATTGTTCGTATAATATTCGTTTATTAAGTTAGACAAATGAGCATGAATAATTTTTTTAATATTTATTTAATAAACGAACGAACAATAATATATATGTGCTCGGTTCGTTTATATTCACAAAGAAGTTCGTTTATCGACTCGTTTATTCGATTCTCTTTTTCTTTTTTATATTTTAAATATTGGTAAAGGCATGAGATAAAGTGAGTAAAAGTAACTTTGAAGTTCAAATTGTGAAATTGTAAGCACTTTAAGGACTAGTGACATAATTTTCTTTGGCTTGAAATGAAAGGGTAAAAGGTTAGTGTTGGTTGTCAGAATGAAATGAACATTAAACGAACATGTTGGCGAACGATAAATAAATATATTTGCAAACATATAATGAATATTTTTGTAACTGTTAAACGAACATGTTTGCGAACGTTAAATAAGTAAACATGAATACTTTTAAAAGTAAATAAACGAACACGAAACTAGAAAAATCTAAACAATACAAATTAAATAGAAATACTTTAAACTATGATGAATATAACAATGTTGGTTCAAACTTTGCTCGTATAGAAATCAAGGTCTTGGTTTAGGAGAAAAGCATGTTTGACTTTATTAAATTTTTGGGCACACGAAATTATTGCATTTAGTTGAAGGCAGATAGATTTTTAATAATGCACGTCTGTTTTGGAAATGTATTTTTCTCATTAATTATGCAACTAAGAAAACTTTATGATTAGATATGGATTTGTTTTTTTTTTCTTATTAATTATTTAACTATAACTAAGTGGTAAAAAATGAATATTTATTAAATGTGTTATATTCATACTATTTTACAGAAAGAAAATATACTTGCAACAAATTGAAAGCAAAACCATGCATTAATCTGCTCTTACCAGAAAAATTTTGTTGCAATTTCTGCCATCAATTTCTACTAATTTCTTTTGATATTTCGGTGATTTAATGCGAAATTCAATGCTCGTGTAGTTGCTTTGGTAGAACATTAAATGTTTAACTCCAGCGCGTTGTGGTTTTTGATTTATTTGTGAATAAAATGTAAGTTTGAATCAATAATATGTTGGTCTAGTAGGATGATACACTATGTCCTTAGTAATGTCAGGGTTCGAATTCTGACGTTTGCGAATAGAGCAAACTGGGTTGGGAGGGTCGTTCTCGCCTCTGAAATACCCGATATAGATTAGTGGTCAATAGATCAGATACTAGTGATTAATTCAAAAAAATGTAAGTTTGAAAAATAAAAATAAATTACAAATTTAGCGAGGAGAAAATTCCAGAAGCATAAAATTTAGACTTGGTCATTGATTGATGTCTCTCCATTTTTAAAGGGATCATAGTAAGACCATTTATTATCTCTTCTAGTTCCGCTTTAAATTTCATAAATTTTACTAATGGGTTAAGGTTTGCAATAAAACACCATTATTGTGTTAGATATTAATTTTCTAAAATCCAATTTGATTTTTTTATTCAAAATGGTCTTTCAACTATAGAGAGTTGTTTTGTTGAGACCTTTAACTATTAAAAGTTATAAATTGGTCATCTGACTTGTTCCAAACTCATCTTTTTCCGTTAAAAATTTGACGACAGTCTGAGCTGTATGTTAACCTATTGACTGGGATATTATAAAATCTGATTTCATAATCTCAAACGGTAAGGATTATTTGTATCCTTTACTTTTATTTTTACTAATTCGAGGTGATCATAAGGTCTAAACGATATGTTTGAAAGTATGGATAGTGAGCACTAATCCCAATACACGCACCATATTGAGCAGTCATATTCCCATGTCCCTCTTGAATCAGACCAGAAAATTGATAGTGAATAAGACTTTGCAAATGCCCTGAAAACAATGTTCTTAATTGCATCCTGCAGTTTTCTGTCTAAATATATATTGAACCTAAGCTACACTCATCTAATGTTTCACCAGAAATTCTGAGTCTCATTCATTCTCAACTTTATTACAAAATGAATTCCACAAGTTAACTCCATTTCTGAAATCAATGCCAATATATCTCTACATTTATATAATAGATATTTAGAGTTACTTGTGGATTCTATCAATTAATTTGAAATATCAAAATCATAATTTCATACATCAAAGAATTTATATATATATTTAATTTATTAATTTTAATGATTTAATATTATATTTTCTGATTTATAAATTTTATATAATTTTTTAATATTTTTCTTTAAGGATAATGATCCTTTCTCTTTTATCTTGACCACTTTTAATCCTTTGTCACTTCCCATGCATTTTAATTACCAGTTGACTGGCGTGTAAAATTTATAAAAAAACCAGCCATAAAACTAAAATTAAATTTTTATTAATCTAGATAAGTACAAGGCAATATATGTTTAAAGATAACTTTTAACTTTTTGATATTGAACATTCACGCTCCTAATACTCAAACCCTTGTCCTCAAGGGATACCAACAATTCTTTTACCACGAAAACTACTTGATTCATGAGAATCAACTTTAAATATGAATTATAGAAATAAACTTTCTCAAAAGATTATTATACTATTTAATACCTATTATTTCATTTATATTTTTATCACTCTTTCTTTTTTTCTTTCAAAATCATGTAATCATATGATTTTAATCATATATTCTTAGAAAATTAAGGAACATACAAGAATAAAATATGTGAGAAATAAGAGCCTAACCACTACGCTAACCATGTTTATTGTGTTACTTTCACCAGAAAATATATTTAATATAAGATTAAAATCTAAGAAAATAAAATATATTTAATATAAGATTAAAATCTAAGAAAATTTTAATTGCAGAGAACACACCAGCATGTCTTAATTGTTAAAGAAATTGTTATTCTTCTTTCATGCTCTAGGTTCGTGCGTGCGTTAATGTGTTTTCAATGATTATTATATGGTGTGCGTGCGTTAATTTCAAATGTAGGGAACCCATCAAGAGGTCCTAATAGTTAAAGAGATTATTATTTTTCCTCGAGGTTATAGATTTGTGCGCTCTTGTGTGTAGCCTCTGTAATTTCTACATAGTATACGCGTATTGTAAATAGTTAAGAAAAATTTTAAACAAATATTACTCTTATAATCACTCATACTATTAAAAATATTTCAAAAAATAAAGATAACGGAAATCAAACCCAAGCCTGTTGGGAAGAGATGAGACACCAAGCCGTTGAGTTAGGCATATTAATCGTGTTAGTTTCACCGAAACAAGTATTTATTAATTTTTCTACTTACTCACATAACTTTATGAGTAAATTACACGTTTGATAATTGAATTTTACTCTCTCTCTTATTTTATTCACTTTACTTTTTATTTTTTTCAATTTACTCACTGAACTTTACGTGTGTGTGGCCTTAGTGATTTCTACTTGTGCATTGTCAATAATTAAGAAAAATTCTGAACATATATTACTTTTCTGATCACCCATTCTATTAAAAGAACTTCAAATGTAAGGATAATGAGAATCAAGCCTTAGCCTTTTGAAAAGAGACGGGAGACACCAAGCCATTGAGTTAGGCATGTTAATTGTGATAGTTTCACTAGAACAAGTATTTATTTTATACTAGTTTATCATCATAAAATAAATGATTTTTGTTGGATTTGAGTTCAAACCTATGATATTTAAGAAAAATATCCAAATGATTTTCCACCAAAATATGCCAAGAAATTATTTATGTTCAATCAAAACTATTATTAAGGATAGGCCTGTAAATGAACTGAACGTTCAGCGAACCGTTCATGAACCGTGCGGCGGGAAGTTCGTTTATGTGCGTTTATTTATTAAATGAACGAACATGAACAAGATTTTTTGTTCGTTTAATTAAAATGAACGAACATGAACATAGGTCTCGTTCGTTCATTTACGTTCGTGAACGTTCGGTTATGTTCGTTCAGTTATGTTCGTTCGATTATGTTCGTTTATGTATGTTTAACCCAATCTTCTTAAATCAATTTTGGTGACCAATTTGTAAGTATCTTAAAAATATTAATTAATCTAATATTCTACTGACCAACTCCATAATTAACCCAATTTTATTTGGAGATTAAATCCAATATGTTAACCCGTGAGGCACCTCACACCTATATTCATTTTCCCTCTTTTTTCCCAAACCCTAGTGTTCACTGGAGAGTGGAGACGATCGCTGAAAGCTTCAAAACAAGTTATATTATAGTGCAATATGAAGTTTTACAGGTCTGTTTGAATCTCTTTCTCTGTTTTATTTGACTTAATAGTTGATATGTAAAGTTATTGCGGATATCTTCACATCTAAAACTCAAGAAAACATCATACTTCTTTCTAGAAATAGATGGGAAGATAAATGTAACAATCGGAAGTATATGAGCATCAGTAAAGAGAAAAATATATAGAATTTGCCAGAAAACAAAACAAAGGTTTCTATGTAATTTCTGAAAAAGAGTGTAATAGCGGAAGTAATGAGTTTTCCAGGAAGAACCCATTAATAAGTAGAAAATACACTTTGACAATGATTTTTTGTTTTCATAGTTCTTGTGTGACCTTTAGTTGTGGAGTAGACTTTAGGTACG